GTGACACACAAGACTCCACTGAGAGATGGGGTGGTGACTGTACATGAGATACACTGGCCAGGAATCGAACCTTGGTCTCTTACACAGAAGAGAATACTATGGATTCTCACAGTATCCTATTCTCTTAGGATCCTAATTCAATCTGAGTGGTGTCCTTGTAAAATAGAAGAGACACAGGTACAGAAGGAAGATAGGTTAAGGATGACATGGGAATGCCAAGGGTTTCCAGAAGCTACTGGAAGCTAGGAAAGAGATATGAAAGAGATTCTCTCTCAGATCCCCCATAAGGAATGAACAGGGCTGATCCCTGGATTTGGGATAAGATACCAATTCACAGAACAATGAGTTAAAGACAGCATGTGGCTTTAAGTCACTGAATGTTGAAGTGCTTTGTTACACAGCAGTAGCTAACAAATACATACAAGAGTGTCCGAGGAGAGAGAGGGATAAGAACACTCCATTGTTATAATCATTACTGATTCTGTAGCTTCCAATTGACTGATGAGAATTTGAAATCTGGGAAGAGACACAAGGACTCAAGATTAGTGTTTTTTGTTTTTAAGACTTTATCATTAAAAAAAAAAAAAAAAAGTAGAAGACTTCAGAGAAGGGAGGTAGGGGGAGAGAGAAGGGGAGCAGTTGGGAGGGTGAAGGGAATCTCCCCAAAATGTCGGATCCTGGCTCTCCTTCCTTGATAGCCCAGCCCACCCACAACCCCTTCTCTGTCCTGGAGGGGGCCTTTTGGCCATCATCTCCTGAAGACCCAGGCCCAGGATCTCAGCAGGCCAGAGGTGGGGCTCACAGCCTGGACGCCCTGTCCTTGTCCTTGAGAGGCCCTTAAAGGAGTGCTCAGGCCCCTGTGTCCCCATGGGGCCCCAGGGAGGTAGGCATTGAGTAGGGGGGGGCCTTTGGAGGTGGGGTCCTGAAGCCAGAGGACCAGGTGGGAACTGGGGCCAGGTGTGAGCCCGGGAGTCACAGTCCGGAGGTTGGGGGTCTGTGGAGAGAAGTGGAGAGATCGAGTCAGAAGGTAGGGAGGGTCTATTCCACAGCAGCCCCTCTGAAGAGTCCCCACCAGCCCCCAAATGAGAGCAATGTGAGCAGAGCAACCGAGGGAAGAGACAGGGAGAAAAAGTAGAATTGTCACAAAGAGAGAGAAAGAAGGGATGGAATGAA